AAGTACTACTCTCCTAAAATAACGAATCAAGCAAGTGTTATGACTTATGACACAAACCTGACCCAATCCAACACGCAAAGTGGGATCCTCTCTCTGGAAGGGGTTCAAAGCTATCGAAAACTGTAGAATGGAAAAAGAAAAAGGAGTCATTTAAGCCTAATTCCCAGAGCAGAGTCAGAGAAAATGAACCCAATTCCATCAGGAATCACTCACTTGTCCCGCATAGTCTTTTGAAACTGATTGAACATCTAAGGACATTATAGGCTAGGGTACATTCATAGACGTCATAGTGTATTTAACGGGAGGATAAAAAATGTGAAAGCACAGTTGTCAGTCATCATTCAAATACCACATACATAAACTATACATACATCATCTGCTTCTTGAATGTCCAGAATATCCTGCAGGTAAGGAAAACATAGATTTTCATCAGAGCTTAAAGGAAACGAAAGGAAAGGAAACCCAAATCAAGGACAATGTAGCCTACTATCAATAAGTGAGGTATGAATCCCCATAACATGCCATACTTTTCACTGTCAAATACTAATACTTCAACCGTAGACAATGTTATACATTAATCAATTAGAAGAAAAAACTGATATTTTGACTCATGTATCTCTTGACAAATTGGAATGCTTACTACAGCACAATAACAAATTGACTATACTGCACCCAAACCTACAAACACAAACATGTTACTACATCTTTTTCTTTATGACTACCATCATGTTTAAAGTTAATGTAACATGCCACCAGTTAATGTGACCATTCAATTGAAACTTAAGTCTGCAGAACTTTTATCGTACGACACTGGGCTTCCCCATGTAGTGAACCTGAACGGTAGTTTTGATGAAATACATCCCATCAACCAACCCAAAGACACAAAGAAGAAAAGCTGGTTAATTCTCATCGGTTGAAACTGTGACTCACAATCAATTAGGCGGAAGAACTTTAGCCATAGATGTATTTCATTCTTTCATTCCAAATGTGTTCGTATCTCATTTCCAGATTTGTTTCGTTCTCCCATTCTTGTAAATTAATCAGCAGCCAGCAACAGGAGTCACATTTGGTGTAGATGGTTCAGCACGAACGTTCTGCAAAGACTGCTTCAATATCTTACAAAAATTTGAAATTTCCATAAATCACAAAATATCGAGTAAACTTCAAATATTGAAAGAACATAAGATCGTTGAGAGTTCCAAGTTCATTAGTACCTGAGCTCTTCCAAGTGAAAATGTTGGAATCAGGACCTTTCCTCTCGCAATAGAGTCATGAACTAACTTTTTAAAGGGACACATATATGTAAAGTAGGATACTGAAACACTTAAAGGTACAAACATGGAGTAAAGCATCAATTACATATAAAATGCAAAACACATCCTACAATTGTTCATGCAAGATAAAAATAATTCTGAAATCATAGGCCATTGATTGCTCTCATTCCCAGCAACGATGCAATGCTTCTAGAAACAGGAAAAGATTTCAGTAATATCTCACTTGTCAGAGAGATTCATTCTTCTCAGAGATACGGGTTGGAAGGCTGCACAAAATCCAGAGGCAATGTCAGATAAACAGTAGCAAAACAGATGGTTGCCAGCCATGGCAATTAAGTCCAGGCTTCAAGTGGAGCATGTAGTTGCATGGTACTCTAAAAACAGCTGATAAAAAGGGACATACAGGTCTCCTACTCCCACTACTTTCTCAATGCTCTAATTTTGAGCTCAACCAGCAAAATCGCAAAAGTGTTATTAGGTAAGAGCATGTTTTAGAAGCTTCAACTCTGTGGGTGAGAAGAATGGAGGAAATGTCCAGTAAGCAAGCAGACTTGGAGGGCACCAACAATGAAAAAGGGAGGGAACGACTTACGGATCAGCTGAGAAACAAACCAAGAAGACAACAATCTGATTTGCATCAAAGGCAAATTCTACTTTTCTCACCATTTCATAATCTTTCTCGTCTCCTGCATAATCATTCAAATCAATCCAATGAGTTAGTATTAAGCTTTAGTAAGTTGCTGACATATATAATAACCAGGAACAAAATTGTTTTAAACGGGCATGAGTCTTATAAGCAAACTAACAATTAAATAATTAAGGTTGAACACACAGAACAATGATAACTGTTTGTGTTGAGATATTTGTTGTGCAACACGGGTCAGTTTAGTAATGCCAAACCATTTTTTTTCTGAGACGAGTAACGAACACAGAATAAATTATCTACCTCAAAAGGATATGAAGCAAGGGAAACCCAAAACTCGAGCCTGACCTTCAATCCCAAACATAAGACTTCGCTGCAAATTCCCCAAACAAAAACCAAGTGTAAACCTCAAATTAACCGTATTAAACTTCGAATAGGGTGGCAAGGATGATGCTTCTCACCATTTTCCAGCTTCTCAGTTGAACTCAAGAAATGCAGAAGATGTTGATCTAAAGACATCTGAAATTCTCTTACGCAACGAAGTACTGATTAAACTCCGTTCAAGTCCCCAGCTACTTCTCTTTTTATCTTCCTACCCGATCCCAACCCTAATCTCTAAAGTTGAGCTTCTTCTTCCCTAGTTCCATTCTGCCTGGAGACAATCGAGCCTTCCAATCGCAAAACTCTCACACTCTGCCTTCCCTTTCCGAGCTACAGGCAACATTCACAGAGGCAAGCAATTCGTTGGTAAATGGAGAGGAAACTACCAAAGAACAGAATCCCAAAAATCAGAACACACATTGTCAAATCGAGCAAAGATCCGAACTTGTAACATAACCCATCTCAATTCTACGACTAAAAAGGATGGAGAAAGCAAAGAGAAAATTCACTCGCCGTTGTTTTCACCAGCCACCAGCGGGTCCGCCTCTTCATCCAAGGTAAGGCCCCTCCTCTCCGGCCATGGTTCCTTTGCATCTCTCGCTTTCCTCCAGCGAGTCATTCTTGTCGACTCTTTCAGCATACCAGTTTCGGTGAAGACGAATCGATGGATGAGGAGAGGGAACACACCAATTCATCTGGCAAAAATGCGGAGAACTCCAAGAACGCATCATGACGCCAAGGACTTCCAACAATCCATGTATGCATGAGACGCAATTTGAGGGAGGGAGCTTGGTCTGTCCATTTCAATTTGGAGAGGACGGCTTAGCCATGGTGCGAAGGTATAGAAAAGAGGTGAGAACGGATGAGAGAGCTGGGTGGAGAAGAGGGTTTGGAAATGGGGAGTACATAGAGAAAGGGTTTCAAAATGAGTTGCAGCCAAAACCGAGACGGTGGAGGCAGAGAAGAAAAGCGTTCTCTCCTTCCATAGGAATAAGGCTACTGGCGAGGACTGTAGAAAACATGGGCGGTGGAGTATGGAAGCAACCACAAGGAACCGTCAAATCGGCGAGGTATCACAGAGTGATGAGATGACAGGAGATGATGTGCGGCAGCGGATTTCAGAGAGTGGGGGTGAAGGGAAGGGATTGTGAGAGGGTACGAAAGCATGGACGCCTGATAGACCGATAATTATACATGTTTTTACCCCTATTCTGAGGCCGTTTGTGACGAGGAATCTCGTGTTTTAAGCCGATTTCACGCTAGGTTGTGTGTTTATGTCATATTTCAGGTCCCGGCGTTGGAATCGAGGCGGAGAAACGAGTTCTGGGTCGAAAGGAGCAAAGTTGGGACGAATAGGGCTGAAGGAGGAAAATACCCGGTCGGTTGGCCAAATACCCGACCGGGTATTAACCACTTTTGGGCGCCCGAGAAGCAGAGAGGGGCCCGGGCAAAGCAGTTAAATCCCCGGTCGGGGATTTTGGTGTTGGACCGGGGATTTCCCCCTTTAGTGAAACGGTGCGCTGCAGAGATACCCGGTCGAAACCCAAAATACCCGACCGGGTATTTTGACCGGGTATCGCGACCAGGCAGCTGATTTAAGGAAGAAGAAGGTCAACATTGAGGGGTTCCGAGTTTTTGAGAGAGAAACCGATACCTAGAGAGAGAAAGCGTCGAACCAGAGTTCTCAAGCGCCATAGATCGATCTTCAACACCATTGGAGCCCGTCTTGAGCTTGGAGAAGTGCGATTAAACGTCCAGAAGCAGGAATCCAACTTCACAGTATGATTTCCGTGTCTGAATCTGCTTTTGCTTCTTTCTCTATGGAGTAGTTTCCCCATTCATCTGGGTATGGAGAACCCTAGATTTGTATGTTAGGTCTGATTGTATGAACCCAAGTACAGTGTTTGTGAATTGATTATATTCGATTGAGGTTTGAATGATTGAATGACTTGAATCCTGATCAAATTCCTGTTGTTTCTGCTTTGACCTGGAATGAGAATATCGGCCTAGGTTGATAGAGTACCCTTAATCGAATGTGGCGAATTGGTGACTTTAGTCGAGGAGCCAATTCGCTATTCTGTACCGAAGTCAATTCGGTAGTGGAGGTTTGGTTCATTAGGGCCTCAATCTGTTTACTCCGGTGGAGGTTAGTCGCCCGCTAGAGACTCAGATTGAGAGGGTCTGGAGACCTTTAGTCGAGACTTCAGGCTAATTGAGAACCTTCCGCAGTATAACTTTCATGAAAACTGAACTTGGTAAAATGCAATCCGACTTAACTGCAGTATAGGGGGAAACCATATCCGGGTGACCTCTCTTGACTTGACAACAAACCGTTTACTTGCTTTCTGTTTTGTTTGCTTGAGTTTCACTAAAAGTTCACCGCTAAATAACAAGAATTCACCGAGTAGTCATCATATCTAGGACCCGGGTTGACATTAAAACCCGACCCGCTATACTACGCTTTAGGAAGTGGTTATACTTGGCCATTTTCTAGGGTGACAGTAGGAGTGAGTCAACGCCGGAAGGGTGAAGGCCATCTCGGTGGAGGACGGGCAAAATTGGCGAAGTCGGGGAAGTTCTCTTCAGCCCGTTCAGAAGATGCCAAAATATGATACAGTAAATAGCGGTTTTGGCAATAAAGCGTACCCACTCTTTATGTTTTAAAGAATAATGAAAGGATAGTAGTGATGCTGTAAGTGCTTATTTCTAAATATGAAGTACATCTTATTTCCATCCATTTGAACTTTCGAGAGAACCCTCGACAAGAGAAGAGCGGGTACAGTAATTACAGCAAGCAATGAGCTGGAAATAGAATAATTACCATGATAACGAAGGTTAACTCTGTCAGGGGAACTCTAATGGCAGCAACCATATTGAACAAAATATTAAACAGAAGCTGTTTTAGTTGCAACGTGGAAAATAAAATCTCTATCTGTCAAGTTTTACAACCCTTCACATATCATCACTTAACTACACCCATTTGGGAAACGAGTTCCTCCGTCTCTGGCGATGGATTGCCGCCACCAGCATTCTCTTCTCTTCTGATCTTCAATCATCTCTTGCCATTACCAGTGGCTCGACTGGCGACGAAGTTCCTGAGAGAAGGCGACTGGGTAAGACCGTCGGGCGCGATCGTGGTGTTCTGGGTTCCATTCTTAATCTGCATTCTTCTCCTGGCCATGTAGCCTCTGATCCAGGGTGTCACATCCTCGCTGATCTTGATCATGACGAAGAAGATGATGCGGTAGATCACTATCATGCTGAAAATCACGCTGAGGTCAATCCACTTGGACCTGCGGATGTTGATCTGGAAGATGTTCTCCAGGATGTACTCCCCTGGGATCTTGGGGAGATCCGGGCTTTGGTTGTTGAACAGCAGCCCGTTCAGGTCATTCTGGTATTGCCCCTGAAAGATGTTCGACGAAATGTCCCAACGGGTTAAGTTAAAACTCTGTTTCAGTTTGAATCAAAGGAAGAACCAATCGAGGTTTCTGGTGTCGAGAGTTTCAATTCACCTGAAGAGCCCAGAAGTGGAAGCTGATGTATGACATGGGGTAACGCCAGACGGGCTTCGGAATGTCATTTGGCAGCCTGAAGTAGCCCGAGACCAACATGAAGATGCCCTGAAAAATGTTTCCATCAACCAACCCAGGATTGTTATGGATTAAGCTTCATTTGGGGAAATTAAGAGAACGACAGGGGAAGAAGAAGGGTGGGAGAACCTGAATTCCAGCTCCAATGATGATACCCATGAGGAAGTTGGGGACAATACTGGCGATGGCCATCATCAAGCTCTCAACAACCGTGACACTTGCGTAGAGGCAGAGCACGAAGAAGAGGTAATGGGTGAAACCCGGGTGGAGCCTGACCATGAAGTAGCAGATTGTTCCGGAGAGGAAGGTGATGGTGATGAGGAACGGCATCGCCGAGAGTGTGTTGCTGATCACAAATGCTGTCACTCCGTAGTGGCCATTCAGCCTCTCTCTTTGGAAAACCTGAAGCAGGGTTCCCAAGGAAATCAAGCATCAGAAAATCAGAATCGGTCCAATTTCTGCGAAGAACACTAATAAAGTTGTTGCGGAATTGTTTTAACCTTCATGTCTTCCACGAAAGATGGGAAGCCTCCAATGGACATGAACGTGACGAAACCGAAGACGAATGAAGCACAGGAGCCTCTTGCCTGGGTTCAGAAACAGAGAGAGTGTAAACTTAAGAGGCAGAGATCACAGAATGTTCAACGAAATCTCGAAAGTAACGAACTTTCTTTCTTTCTTCTTAATTACCAGGATTGAGTTGTAGCTAGTGCCGACATTGAAGTATATGGTTCCGATGCAAATGGTGACCACGATGTAGATGACGAGCCTGAGCCAGTAGTAACCGAAATCCCTTGACATGTTGACGAAGGAGCGCTTGGTCAGAGTGAAAGCCTGCATCGGGAAACTAGCCTGGCTCCCTCCTGCATCAAGCACCGTCCCTTTCTGCACACACCAGAAAACGAAATTCAGTTCAAATGGCTCTAATCTTACATCGAAATATCGTAATTGACGGTCGTTCCACTATATTCATCAGGAACAGAGAGCACTTACGACTTTGGAGATCTCATCCACCTTCTGCCTTGCAGCATAACAATACTGAGAAGTTCGGTAGTAATCAACCAAAGTACGGATCGCTTCAGCTGTGGTGATCTTATCCAGAGGATCCTCCGATGCATCAAACTGATAAACACACCAAAGGGAGGGAGGAATAAGAAATTCAATCAAACTGGTTTCCATTGGGGGGAAGGTAAGAAACGAGAGTGAAGAAAGGCAGGGTACCCGCAGTTTCATGGATCCTTTGAGAGTGGCCTTCACTTTGTCGAAGTCGGCATTGACGCATCGGAGGAAATGATCAGATGGGTTTCTCAAAGCAGGGCAGGGGAATCCGGCTTGCGCAAAGAACTGTTCGATAAGAAAAATTATCTTGAGATTGCAGAGATGGAGAAGGAGAAAACACAGAAAAGTAAAGAATCCATAGCGTGAACTGAAACCTCGTAGGCATCTGAAGCCTGGCCGAAATACACCGTTTTGCCACCAGAGAGAAGGTAAAGTCGATCAAAGAGCTCAAAAACTTCACTGCTCGGCTGGTGGATGGATGCAATCACAGTTCTCCCGTCCCTCGACAGTCCACGCAGCGTCTGCGTCACAAAGAACGCCGAAGCACTGCCCAAAGAAACACACCCACAAAATTGATCATCCATTTCCGTAAAAGAAATCAGCTTTCACAGGTTCGTGGGCTAAGATAAGATACTCGAATGTGTAAAAGGAAGAAAAGGGAATAAACCTGTCAAGCCCGCTGGTGGGTTCGTCGAGGAAGAGCAATCTGGGTCGCATCAGGATTTCGAGGGCAATGCTGACTCGACGCTTCTCGCCGCCGCTGATCCCCCGGAGATGCCAGTTCCCAATCACCGTATCAGCACAGTCCTGCAAGCCCATCTCCACAATGGTGCTCTCAATCAGCGCCCTTTTCTCCGACCACGGCATCTTGTCCGGCAGGCGCAGCCTGGCCGAGTAAGATATCGTCTCCCTCACCGTCAGCGTCCCAATCAGGTTGTCGTCTTGCGTCACATACGCCTGTGACAAAAACAGTAAGTGTCCGAAAAACAGAGAGGTATAGTTCCTAACCCAAAATTAAAAAATAAAAAACAAGACTTTACGGCGGTTCCGAAAGAGAGCTTGGTTTTGCGGCCGTTGAGAAGGATGGAGCCGGAGAGAAAAGCGTTCGCCGCCAGGCGGCTAGACAGAGCATCGAGCAGAGTGGATTTGCCGGAGCCAGAGGGACCCATCAGCGCGGTGAGGCTGCCAGGCTCCGCATAGCCGGTGAGTCCTTCGAGGACATTCTGAGTCTCGCCGTTGCCAAGGGTGACCATCACCGTCAGATCCTTCCACGTCAGCCTGGCCGAGACGTCGCCGACGAACTCCGTGTTGGTCCGTTCCCGCCACAGCGTCTCGCTCAGGGGGCTCAGCCCGCCGACCACCATCCCGTTCCCCGCCGGTTTGCTCGCCTCTATCTCCATCATCACCGTCGCCGCCGCCGCCGTTGCAGAGGGATCAGAGGATGAGTTCCTCATATCTTAGGGAGGAATTACGACTACTTATATACCAGAAAGAAGAGAAAGATGAGAGAAATGGGATTGGCGTGTTAATGAGTGGTTGGGTGGGGGAGAAGGCGGTTCATATGAGGAACCAGTAACTAAATTAGGTTTGAATGAAGTAAGCGTGTCTTCCTCTCCTCAATGTTTCATATGGATGGTGCCTTTGGCTAAGCCTCTTTTTGGGTTTGACGATGGAGACCGGGTGACGCCAAGTAGGAATGTTATGTTTGCTTTCAGCTTCCCAAAACTGTGGCTTTGCTCTGTTTCTTCTTCTTTCCCTGAGCAGTATGAAAATGATCAGTTGGGGAGATAAGAGGGAAGGGAAGGCGGATGGCTGGATGGCGATCTGATGGAGACCACTACTGCTAATTAGTTCGTTGGTATGGGGAGGGGAAGGGAATTAAATGGGAGGGTTTGGGTAGTTGTTGGGAAGGAAGGGGCATTAAATACTTGGACCGACCTTCATTCATTAAGTTGTTCGTGCCCTACTTTCATCTTCTCCAGTTGGGTAGATAAGAGGGAAGGGAAGGGAAGGCGGATGGATGGCTGGATGGTGATCTGATGGAGACCGCTACTGCTAAATGCTAATTAGTTCTTTGGTATGGGGAGGGGAATTAAATGTAGGGTTTGGGTCAAGTTGTTCCGCGGGGTGACCCGGACCTGGTTGAGCTAGTGGGTCAAGGGTTAATGGGTCATCCGTTGTAGTTCGTTTTAGCTCGGAAATATGAATTATCCTGATAAATTATACCAAATTTCATCTAACATATGAGTAATAACAAATAACATTACACCAAAGTAACATGTCGTACTTAGATCCAACATATAGTAAAAATTCACACACACTTATATAACATCAATATTCAAATGTTTAACTAAAGATTCCAAAGATTGAGTTAGACGAAAAGAAAAATTGGAAAATAGGCGCATTTCTCAAACCAAAGAAAAAAATGACACAATTTGACCTCTAATCCGATACCTTGTAGCGGTCGACCCGACGGGTGCGTGTGACCCATTTTTCTCATCGAGTCAGAGTTAAAGTGGATCGACCCGTGGGTCGACCCACGGGTTGACAACCTTGGTTTGGGTAGTTGTTGCCTGTTGGAGGAAAGGGGCATTTAATACTTGGACCGACCCTCAGCCTCATTCATTAAGTCGTTCGTGCCCTACTTTCATCTTCTCTTTTATCCTCTCCCTGCCTTGTGGGCGAGCTAATGGGCTATGGCAACTTGGCAATGTGAATGGTCTCCATTGACAATTGTTTGGTTTCTAGTGTTTTACTTTTTATGGGCAAAGTATAAGTGGATGGTCAAATCTTTAATTTGCATGATAGATATACCAAAGCGTTTTAATATTACATAAATTGTTAGAAATGTATTCTTTTCTTCATTTTTATATTTAAAAATAATTTTATACCACGTCGATTAATTACAAAGAAAAATAATTAATGTTTTTAGAAGACCAGCTCAACTTTAAGGATTAAATTATTAAAATAGGGCCTTAAGGGGTTGGATTTTTGTGCGTAACACCCCTGTTGCTAGCCTAAGTGACTGACAGCCCGTCATCATCATGACCTAGGTGGCCAGCCAGTCCCAACAGGCTAGATGATAAGACGTATGTAACTAGCCCGTGAGTATGAAATTGAGATTCCCAGAAACTAAGTATGGAATCCTGATGGTTTGTCGGCAAAGCGGCAAGTACCAAATCGACAAGACAAGTTTGGTCACAAGTTGATAGAGCCCCAAGCTGGCAGGGTGACGAGGATTCAAGTTGATTACACATACTTGGTGACAGACGACTGGGTACCAACCCGATGAGATGGAGGTGATAAAGTGGCCAGTTGACAGGGTACCATGCAGATAGGGTCACAACTTGATGAGGCTCCAAAACTAAGTAGGAAGATCAAGTAGAAAAGATAGGCTTGGTGTCTAGTGGGCATGGTACCGAACCCTACAAGTGGAGACTTGTTAGGCAAGGTACCAGCAAGACAAGACAGACTTGTCAACAAGCCGACAAGACGGGTTTGGTGGCAAGCTAGCAGGATACTAAGTCGACAAGGTAATAGGGTATCAAACAAGCTGACAGGGTACCAACCCGACATGATGGAACAATACCATGAGACTTAAAAAAGCATGGAGATCAAGTCGGCAAGATGGACTTTGGTGGCCACAACAAGGTACCACCCCGATGAGACAAAGGTGACAAGGTTGGTAGCTGATAGGGTATGAAGTCGACAAGACTAGCTTAGTTGCAAGAATGCCCTGGTAGCAAGTTGGTAGGGCGGCAAGGTAACAACTTGATTAGCCTAAAATTTTTATGGAGATCAAGTTGTCATTATGGACATAATTGGTGACCACATGACAAGGTACCAAACCGGTAGGGCGGCACTGTACTAGTTTGATGAGGCTGCAAAACAAATAACCCTATAGAAAAACAAATAAAAGAAAAACACGAAAAAAAATTATATAACGTTGAACCTGCACGGCTCGGCGGTGGCCCGTATTCGTCCCACCCTCAAGAAGAAGGCAAAAGGAGGAGAAAAAAGGGGAAGGGGCGAGTGGGATTGAGCCAAAATGTAATCTTTTTCCTTCTTTCCCACCCACACCGTGGGTAGTCTTATGTACATTCATAATGGCCTTAGCTATAGCAAGAAATGATCTTCCTAGACCAAGAAGAACTTCTATATCCTATTTAATATCTAAGATGATGAAATCACCGGCATATACGAATTTATCTACCTTAACTAGCAAGTCTTCTACTATACCCTTCAAGCACACAATCTACCTTAACTAGCAAGTCTTTCTACTATACCCTTCAAGCACACAATCGATCTAGTAGCTCGTTGAATTTCCATCCTTGTGCACACAATCTACCTTAACTAGCAAGTCTTTCTACTATACCCTTCAAGCACACAATTGATGATATGATCCCAAATGGCCCATCATTCACGTCACAATTACTTGACAAAGAAGCTATCGAAGTTGGGAAGAAGATAGGCAGAATTTGGCTAAGTCAAAATCCATGTTCAGGGTACATACTTTGGAGGCATGGTTCTCTCAATTGGCTTGGTGGAAATTCAATTTTAAGGGTTTGTTTTACAGATAAAGTTACCATGTTTCCAATGGTATGCTTTGTGGATCCATATAATGTCATTAAGGTTGTTTTCCAAGGCCTCAAAGTTGCTACCTCAAAACTGGAAAACTGCCAGAAAATGGCTAAGGCAGAAAACTGTTTTGTGAAGCCTACTTTGGAGCTCAATTCAAGGAGCATGGATGGGATTCAAGTCAAAGGCTTCCACAACATGAAACTAGGTATGTTTTTGAACAAAGGGAAGGAATTGGATGAAGGATTGGAGTTCGGGAAGGCCTCGAACAAAAGGCACGAAGTTAGTACGAAAGCTGCCTTTTGACTGTTTTGCGGGCAGATTACTTGTGCGCAAAGAAAGGAAGTTTATGGCCGAATTTTGAGTCCTTTTTAGAGTTTGTTTTTATCTTAATTGTTTCCTTGTTCATCTAGATTTGTATTAGGTTTTATTGGCTATAAATAGCCCTCCATTTACGTTGTAAAAAAAGAAGACTTTGATTAATCGAAAAACAAACCCTTTGGTTTTGTGCAAGTTGCGACTTGTTTGAGTTTGGTGGATTCCAAGCTTGTGAGCTTTGTATCGATTGAATATTCTCTTCAATCGTGGTCGAGCAGCTACCCTTTTATACCATACGAGCTTTCCCCAGGTGTGGAATTGTCCGTTGGTTCCGTTTTATCCCAAGTTCGTATTAAGAGCGCTTCGTTCTTGATTTGAGCTCAATCGATTCTTCGATTGAGTCGTTGCTGCGTTATTTTGATAAAAATACACCCTCTAGGGTCTAGTAGCTAGTTGAATTTCCATCTTTGTGACTAGTTGAATTTCCATCTTTGTGAGGATGATTCACCTAACCCTAGCCTATTGAACTTTCGATAATGCGTCTTTGCTTGTGATGCAAGGTATAATAACACTCATAGTAAAACTACTTCTCTGGGACTTCTCAATATGCAAATTGCCTGTGCCTACAATGCAAGATATAGTTAAACTAACTCCTTGTGTTTCTCCGGGAGCACGAAGCATTCCTTGACCATGGAGACTTCCTGTCAAGCTGTCACCACCTGGTTTGGTTTCTAGATTAGTGTTTGCTATGGTGCCCAAAAACGCCATGCCTATTCTTGTAAATCTTATATAACTCATTCGCTTTTATCAAGGGGAACAAAGATGACACAAATTTTATTTCCATCACAGGACACTATGAAGGGTTCAACAAAGACACATGGCATTGACAATGAACAGAACACTTAAGAAAAACCAAGTCTCAGTCCCCGGTAAAAAGAAAAACAAAAACAAACACAAGGTGCAGATAAGCGTGCTGCTTTACAACTCTTTGAGATCCACTCAGCAATGGCAGTAAGCTTTAGTAGTCTTCAGGAGCCAAAGGCTGATGATGGGTATGAAGCGGCGGCTCGGTAGGGATTATCATGTACTCGTAGATGATCGCCGCCAACCCTCCACCGAGGAAAGGACCCAGCCAGTAGATCCAATGGTTCTTCCATCTCCATCCCACCAACGACGGCCCGAACGCCCTCGCCGGATTCATTGCCGCGCCATCGAACGGGCCACCGACCAAGATGTTCGCCCCGACTATGAGCCCAATCGCTAGTGGCGCCATGATCCCCAAACTCCCTCTCTTGGGATCGATGGCCGTGGCGTAGACCACGTACACCAGCCCGAACGTCAGCACAATCTCCAGTATCAGCCCGTTCCCCTCGCCCACCCCGGATGTCACATAGAACCCAACCGGCCTCTGCGCAAAAGAGATACAATCACAAAAATTATATTACGGAATGTTCGAAATGGTACCCCAAATCAGAATCAGAACGTGTACTCCGCCCAAGTACGTTTAACTTCGTGACCAACAGGGTTTAAGTATGAAATGGTACCATGCCGTTTGTGACGAGACGGAGCAGGAGAGAGGCGATGATGGAACCGAGGATCTGCGCAATCCAGTAGTAGATTGCGCGAACAACCGAGATCCTCCCTCCAACAAGGGCCGCAAAGGTGACAGCTGGATTGACGTGTCCACCGGAGACGTTGATGCTAGCTGCCACCGCGGCGAACAGTGCCAGAGCATGCGCCAGGGCGATCATCACCAGGCCGGAAGCCGGCGGCCCTGTTTCCTTGTACAGCTTGTCTGATGCACCAAAACACATGCTCTCCGATTATACCAAACCAGAAAATTGAGAAACACAAAAGCAAAAAAAAAAACCCAACGAATGTTAAGATGAAAACTGTACCAAGAGCAAGAACAGAGCCTTCCCCTGCAAACACAAAGATGAAAGTGGAGACAAGCTCGGCCAGAGTGGCTCTCATTGAATCAGGATGGGTGGCCTCGTCCGCCCTCCCGAACGCGTATCTTCGAGGCATGATCTCTGATTTCCCCCCTAAAATTAAGCAGTCAAATGGGTTTGAAGCATCAACCAACTAAGAATGTAGAGAATTCGATGGATTAATAGAGGTAGATGAATGGAAGCAGCAGAGGAGGCGGAAGAGAGAGAGAGAGAGAGAGGGCGGTTGCATGGATGAGAAGTGGAAGTGTTATAGATGAAGATTGGGAAGAGACGGTTTGGAGCCATGGTGGACAGCTGTTGGATTCTTATGCATGCTGCTCGCCACGTAGAAGAACTAGCATTCCAACTGGACTGGTTTTTTCCTCCTTTGTTTCGTCCCTATCCCTTTTCGTTGCTTCTCTGTTAATCCATTTGACACAACAGTCAAAAGGAAAAAGCAAAGGCAAACTCTGTGTTCTGGTTTGTTCGCCGCATACCGGAGCAAATTTAACCTCTTCTGCATTTAGTGATCTTGCGACGAATTCTGTTCCCCTGTTGCAATTGAAGAACTCAGCGATCTTAAAAGGTTGCATTTGTTATTTGAGCTACAGAATTCAGAATAAACGCATAAGAAAAAAAAAAAAAAAAAGAAGGTTAATCGTCCTTCTACAGTCGATCAAATGGTTGACCTTGCTCTTGTAAGATTTGGAGCATGATTACGGCATTGAAAAGGTTTATGATTCTTGTTCGCAGTTTTGGCCTAGTTAATGTGAACATATTCATATTGTCATATACTCTGATTTAATACAAAACATATCACATATTGTCACTACCCATAAATAAATGTTTATCAAACTCCAACTACATTTTACTTAATTTTCTTACCAAATCGCCATGAGCATTGTTTATTAGGAAAAAAAGTTTATGATAAAAACTAAAAGATGTCTGATGTGAATAATCACAAGTTACAACAGAAAATGCTTATTATGAAAAAAATTGCAGGCAACAGTACCCCATGGTCTAAACTCATAGGAAAAGCCTTTGTCTTATACAGGGATTGTTAAGCCTCCAAGCATTTTAACTTTAATTCTTTATTCAATAAACATGGCTCTTTCTAAGTTTCTCTCTACAACTCTCTCTAGATTTACACAAACCATCTCCTACATCAATACTAACTCTAACACAGTAAAAAAATTTAAAAAACATTTCAATGTTACTATCAATTAAAAATTTTATTTTAATTTTCATTAACTATAGGGCCATTACTCGAAGAGGCCACATATTTTGCATAAAATTCTCGTCTTTTATCCCTTTTCTTTCATTTTCAATTGGACACATATTTTCGTCATTTCTCTTTTTTTCATTTCTTCTAATAATTTCCGTAATCATCTTTTTATTATTTATTATTTAATTGTTTTGTTATCCTGTAATCGATACCTTTGTTTGAATTTTAAGCATATTTCGGCAATGAGTTTTTCATTCTCCTATGTTACTAGCTTTTACCCGACCCGTTGGTCGGATCAATTTCATTCTATTTCGTATAATTTATTTTATCAATATTTATGATTTACTTGATTTGGGATCTTTAATTTTATATGATTCACGAAAAATATTTGTGGTTTTAAGAGTTGACAATGACGTAAAAGGATAGTCCAAGCTATTATATTGACCAAAATCTCAAATATTTGAAGTATTTATTTGGAATTTTATTAAATAAAACACTTGTTGATTCAAATATACAATCGTCTGTCGTGAAAGTGGGATTTTATGAAAAAAAGATCCATGACTTCATAAAGAAAGAAAATCAATTTGATATTCAATAACAAATGTGAACATCGTTTGGATCATATATTTCAGTTATGTATTTGGTATCTATATTCAACACATGCGAGATTTGTCTAACTCCTAAATTTGGAAGAGGTGTTAAAACTCTATTCAACTCAAAGGTCAAGGATGAAAAGTTTTGCTATCGAATTTGAAATTTGTTGGTCCCCATTAATTTGGAATAAGTGACATCCATAAATTAGATTTGTAAATCGAGCATTCAAAGAGACCGATGGGAAAGACATAAAAGTAAAGAAAACAGTAAAACCATCCAAACAACAAACCTGTGAGGAATTATCATGGTGCCATATTAGCCAACATACAATACATTATTAGTAGTTGATTATCAACATGCCATCTTCAAGATTCTCTGGCAATCTCATGGTTTATTGATTAAAACGCGATTCCCAATATGAGAAATCTGTATGAGACTTGGTCACAATTATCTTTTCGCCTATGTTGGTCCTTGCAATTAACAACCCATAACCAAATGAGCTAGCATGTGGCATAGTTATAAGGTATATGCACAAATATGAGTTATTAAATGTCCAACGGATCAGGAAGGAAACATTAATAACCCACTTAGCAATCATCCATATCAGCACAAAACATAGTAATCGAAGTAGCTGTTGTTTTAAGAATATGTTATCACCAACATAAACAATGTCGTGTGAGAATGAGGATGCATGGTAAGCTATTTCCGTACTATTATCTGATGTTGCATTGAAAACAAATTGTCTTGTCCCCCATCCATCTTGTAATGAAATCCTAGCCCGAGTCATCTACTAAAACAACGGCTTTCACCATCAACAACAACTACATGAAGAAAAGAAAGGGGGCTTCAAGTAATTAGTATATGCTAGCATTAGGAATGTTTAAACTTTCACTAATTGTTCTTGCTTCTAATTTTAAAAAATATAGCAGCGTTACCAAAGAATGCATTAGCAAAATATGACGGGGAACCAATCAAGAGCACACACAACAATTCATGATCTCAAAACGACAACTTAACCAAGAACCCCACCCAGTGAAGACGAATTGCAAAATATTTTAACACATACATATATGCAAAGCGATTATCCTCTAATTGATTCATTTTATAGTTATTATTTCCTTCCCTTCATTTATGTCATTATCTAGATGATTTCATATTTTTATTATTTGGGTACTTTTTAATTCTCAAATACTGATTCAATTCAAAGAGCACTTTAGCTAATGCACTACATTTATAGCCTTAACACCCTTTACTTCTTGGGAACTCCGTTTAGATAATATCACACAATAAGTACTTGCTATCAAAACTATGCATGTGGCTTAATAAACCCCTCGATGCAACCCCTTAACTTACGTGACTAAAGAAGCAACAAATGACAGTCATATTTCTTAATCCCAGAAGACATTCGCTACTCACATATTAGATGTCTACCGTAGATAAATGAAATTTACTTCGTAGTGTCAGCAATTTGATGGTATTCAACCTTAAACAAAAAGTGATAGCGAAAGCAGTGGCTTTACTATTTTTTAGACATCAGATGCAACAACTCCTTCCCCTCCCTTTGAGGACCATCACAACATAGATCTATGTTCCTACAAATTCCACACCTATACTAAAACTTCAGACCCATGACAATAAAGATCTGTAGGAATTTTTGCATCCAAACAACATGTAACTTTAGACATACCAGAACATAATTTTGTGTTAAAAGAGTTTAAGTATCATTTGACTCAAAGGCTAAATGAAATTTGCAAGTGAATGCCCCCAAAAGGAACTTTTTTTTTTTTTTTTTTTTTACATAGACAGTAGTCAGGTAAATCCCTGACCAAAATATAGTCAAAGAACAGAAAATAACACCGTGCGGCAGTCGACAAATAGTCGAACTACCGATGAAAGGGCCTGATATGCCACAAAATGGGCAGCCCTATGAGCAGCTGTACCTGCAAAATGAACAAACACATAGCCACAAACGGCCGAATATCTATAAATATTGAAAACAACTATGCCAAAATCATTGCTCCTATAACCTCAAGCAAAACGCTTCCTCGTCAAGATTATCCAACCGGCCATTAGAGTTGCCAAACATGACATTCATCGGCCCTCCAAACGACTCCGTCCAAAAGCCCGGATGAGCAGTGTACCCGGAATGCCAACCGAAGCCGCACCCTTTCCGTAGAAAGCCATAGAGCTCCATAAGCAGTTAGAAGTGACCTGCAAAACAAGAAAACAAATAGGCAATCCAAATGGATCTCAGAGCTGCCGGTTGGACATCCTCATCAGCAAAACAGTACGAAATGAATGAGAAAGGAGGACTCCATCGTGGAGTAACATTGATAGGCTCCACAACGGAGAGGGCCATCACCGGCAAAGCACGATGTCAACCATTATGAGTCAATACGGACTCTGCAACCCACTTACAAAGATGGGACTAATATTTTCTTTTCTAGAATAAAATTTTTAAAAAGATTTCATAGTTAAAAGAAAATAAAACGGATAAGCTTTGGAAAGAATAATAAAAAAATTAATTAAGAAGGAAAATTATAAAAGAAATTAAATAAATAATAGTAAAAATAAAAATGAGAGAGCACTTATCCGGCGTAACCGCCACTGTCCCGGAATCGTAACCGCCAATGCCAACGGCGACTTTGTCGTCTCCCATCGTCACGAAGCCGTCCTCCTAGCACCGTCGTCGTCGCTGTCCTCGTTCATGGTCGGCGTCTGATCTCCCTTTGTTGGTCGCCAGAGCAAAGGACGGGAGAGGAGAGAGAGGAGTCGCCGCCATCATCGGCCCTATTCTCTCTTATTCGGTGCTCGGTAAACCGTAACCCGGTGGCGGCAATATCTGGGTAGAAGATTCGTCGTCGTTGGAGTTGAGAGACGGAGACGACGACTTTGGCGATGGGGCGTGAAGGGTCGTCGGGGAAGGGCGAGCGGAAGGAGCGAGAGATTCGAAACGGTATAGTCGATCCTTACCCCCCCAAAAGGAACTTGATAATGAATTTAAGAACGAACTAACAAAACAACCAGCAACAACCTTGAACCAATTAATTACCTCAATCCAAGAGTTGAAACACTTGCCCAGCCTCAAAGGGTGATGTAATGGAAATACTGTAGCTCTGGTTTTCCTTGTTGATTCTTGCAATAGAGGCAAAAGGTGGGATTATACAATCAGTTGATAGAAGAAGATGATTTGGAAACTATAGTCTGCCATCAAAGACAAATTATCAAGCATTTCAGTGTTCTTTTTCTTAACTTTTTGGGATCATCATTTTAGAAATACTAAATGTGTTGTGTAAGAACTTACAGAAGAAGCAGCAGCTGAAAAGAACATAGGCTAGAATCACACAAAAACCTTGGGTTAAGGCATCTATGAAC